ACCATCTAGCTGACATTAAACATTTGTCAAGGCGTCCGAAAATTTCAATCAAACAGTGCTCCCTAAAACTATTTCTCCTGGTTTGAACTTATAAAAATATCAAGACTGGTCAATTTCCTGCGGTTTTATCCCGATTAAGAGCAAACTGTTACTGCCAGTCTGTGATCTATTAAATCCGCGACCTCTAGCGCCAACCTGTGCAGAATACTCGTAAAAACCTATAGCCGGGAAGATCACTGCTTTGTTTGTGCGGTAGACTGTTAGTTGCAATATCGGGAGATCTCTGGACAAACCGGCGCCTTTAACTTTAACTTAACCCGAGGATCCCTCTCAAGTGAATATCATTCTCCATTTGAAACGACATGACGCATACTTCTGGTCACAGTGGACAGGCGTGGAGGATTAGAAGAGGCCTGGGTTTCTGGTATTTCCTACAGAAATGTTAAAAGACTAAGGTATGCCTAGTTGAGGTTTAGCAGTTGCTCATTTCCTTCGGTAATTAGCATTTCAATTTGTTCTTATTATAAATGATCTGATCAGGTAAGGCCATACTCTCGTCATTTCCGTGTGTTGAATTTCCAGTCGGAAACCGAAAAGTCCTCTGTCTTCTCTTTTGAGGGAGGAGCCAGAAGCAGCCCAAGTGAGATCACATTTTTCAGCTAAAGCCACCTGCGCTTCTCACTGAGCTCCACTTTCAAATTGGTGGCAGTTTTGGCTCGTTAACTTCAGCTAGTACTAAATTATTATCAGGAAGAGTACGGGAACTTAGAAAAATTGGTTGTTTTAGTGGTGGAGTGGAAACCCTAACCTACTGCACAAGATCTCATTGCGCCATTCCTCCCGGGAATAAACGTATTATATCTTTATCCAATGTCAAATATAGGCTGTTTATATATTTATATTCTTGTGCATGTGCTTATTACACCGTTTTGTTTGTTTCGTCTATTGTTTAATAAACCAAATCGGGGCATTTGAGGTTTGATTTCTGGGCCTTTGAATATGTTTTCCTGTACTGGTAATAAAAAATAGTTTTCGTGCAAAACAGGCTTCTCCTGGACAACAGAAATGTTACTTACTACTACGTTATGTCTAGCAGTACCTAATCAGATATTTTTGATGCGTTGTTTTCAGTTCAGGTCAACACTGCACTGAAATCAGCGCCAATGAGTTCTCATAGATCGAAGGGTCGCTCATCTGGAGAAGGTAGCAGCTCGACTGCTTCAACAAATTCGCCGCGTCAGCCCACAAAAGAGGAACTCGAGCAGATGGATCAGCAGAAGGTTAGCCCTGCGCATTTTTTTTCAGCTTCCAGGTGCACCTCCGCACTTTTTGCTACCACAGCGAAAATTTTTTCGACATTGTTGTGATGGACAAGCTTATAAAGGTTGCACGCCTCACACACCAAACTTAGCGTAAGTTATGAGCTAGACTTGACTTGTTATGAGCTAAATGAGAAAAATGTTTGTATGACTATGAGAAAAATGTATGAGAAAAAAGTTATGAACTAAAATATCTTACTTTTTTGAGCTAGACTTTCAGAAACCTTCACACAGTGCCAGGACGAGACAGGGCACTATTTTGAGAATTTGGACCAGAATGGAGAAAAATAAAATATGCTCGAATGAACACACTTTCGAATTGTCAAGTTTTGGTCTTTATCTTCAAATTTAGCTTGATTCCTTCTAACAGTGCAGTTGTCCCATCAAGTTACATTGACGTTTGCGAATGTTACAGAAATGCGTGCTTTTAGGTGACGCCAGAGCTGCTGGAATATATGAAAAATTTTCAGTCTCCATACATGAAAGACGTTTCGGCTTTTGAGAGACTGGCTAAGATCGGAGAGGGCACTTTCGGGTAAGTGTCTTTTCATTACACTGAAATTGAA